TGGTGGCACACACAGTTTCAGAGGAGAAATGGGCATTTTAGGGTCTCTGCTGAGACATCACCTCTGCCAGGATCCCAGCTGAGCCACTGCAGGTGTGACCCAGTCTGGAAGGATTGCAGGGAACAGGGATCCTTCCTGGGGGCTTCCCAAGGAAGGACCATCATCATCCCAGCAGAAAGGTGGGGTAAGTGGACAGGGAGCATCATCCATGTCCTGTGTTCAGGAATCACCCCACATCCAGGCAGAGCCCAGCACAGCCCTGCTGCTGGAACAGGGTTTGGAATTAGGGAATATGGGATCAGGAGTGTGGGATCACTGCAAGTGGCTCTACAGGAGTCTCAATGCCCCAAATGTCCACAAAGGGTCCCAAACATCCCATCCCAGCTGTCCCTCACCTGCTCCTTGAGCTCATCCACCGTCTTCTCTGCCTGCTTCACCTCCTCCTGCAGCTTCTCCCGCTGCTGCCGCAGCGACTCCAGCTCCGTGTTCTTCTTCTCCATCTGCTTCTGGAGCTTCACGTGCTCCTGCTTCTCTGAGGCAGACAAATCCCGCATCCTGGGACAGCCACAGGTCCCATCAGGGCCAGCCCAGGAGCACCTGGTCCCTCTCTGCCCCTGCCTGCCCCAGCCAGGGTAACAGAGCTCATCCGTCCCCATCAGTCCCTCCCTGGTGGGGACATGAGCAACATTCCCAAAATTCAGCTCATTTACAGCAGGGGATGGGTCCCACCTTGGCTGTGGATTCCCAAATAAAAAGCCTTTGAGTCCCCAAGCCCTGGAAGGTGGGATCATGCAGGGAAAGGCAGATCTCAGGCTGGGCAGGGTCTGGAGAACTATGCTGGGATAGTGAGCACTGCATCCATAGGGACTGAGGCATGGGAATGGACTGGAGTGGCTCATTTTGTCCCCATCCCCTGTGACAAGGGACTCTCCCTTCCCTGTGGATGCTTTAAGAGCTTGGCAAAGATCCCAGACCCATCAGCAGGAATGGCATGGGCTGCTCCAGAGAAGGACTGGGATTGGTGCTGTGGGACTTAGGGAGCACAAGAGGCCTGGGAAGGAATTTCGGGAAGCACAAGTGGGCTCTCACCTGACAAGAGCCTCCTTGAGCCTGGCATTCTGCTCCTCCAGCTGCTTGACCTGGTAGCTGGATGCTGCTCCATCAGAGCCTGCAGAGGAAGGGAAGAATCAGAATCCCAGACTGGTTTGGGTGGGAAGGCACCTTAAATCCCACCCATCTCCATCCCCTGCCATCTATCCCAGGGTGCTCCAAGCCCCATCCAACCTGGCTTTGGACACTTCAAGGGATGGAGCAGCCACAGCTTCTCTGGAAAAATTAATTCCAGGACCTCAAGACCCTCACAGAGAAGAATTCCTTCCCAATATCCCACCTAACCCCACCACCGTTCCCCATTCTCCAAGCCCAAAGTCCCTCTCCCCTCCCACCTTTCTCCTCAATCTCGTGCTTGAGGATCTCCAGGTCCATGGTGAGGTATTCCACCTTCTCCTTGAGGGAATCCACCTCCTGCTGCAGGGACTCTGCCCTCTCCTCGGCCATCTCCTTGTCCAGCGTGGCCATCTCGATGGCGTCGGCCGTGTCTGCCATCTCCTCCATGTACCTTTCCTTGGCTTCCAGGGCATCCTTGGCTTCCTGTGGGCAAGCACAGCAGGTGAGGGGAACCCACAACTCCAGACAGACCCCACAACAACCCTTGGGAAATTATTGGCTCTCCTAAATCCAATGGATACTGGTTTATCTGGGATGGGAGGGGATGATCCAGAGCTCCACGGTGTCCCACTCCCCTTTTCCCTGCTCCACACCCTTCAGGAAAACCTTCTGCAGCTGAGGACAAAGGCAAGGGGGCAGGGAATACTGGAGCAGACAGATAAATCCCTGGGGAAAGAAACTAGGAATCCACCGTGGAAAAGTAGGGCAGGGAGAAGGAAATGCTCCTCGGCTGCTTGGATGGAGTCCTGGGAGCTGCAGGCACAGGTGAGAAGGAAAGGAAAGCACCTGGAACTCCTGGGGAGAGAGAAGGAAGAAGGAAGCACCTGGAGAGACAGAGAGAAGAGGGAAACATCTGGAGAGAAAAGGAAGAGGGAAGCACCTGGAAAGAGAGGGAATAAGGAATTCTAAGTCCCACCTTGGCTCAGCCTGATTTCCAAATACACCTGATGTCGATTTGGAGCAGAGGAAAAGACCTCGAGTTGCACCAGGGGAGGTTTAGCTGGATATTGGGAAAATTTCCTCCCAGAAAGGTTTGTCAGGGCTGGAATTCCTCCTGGACTCAGCTCTCCAGGGACTGCCCCATTCCCAGGGACACTCACTCACCTTCTTGGCCTCCTTCAGGCGCTTCTGGAGGTCAGCCTGCTGCTCCTGCATTTTGCTCTTCCATTCCTGCACCTGCTCCAGCTGGATCTTGTACTTCTCCAGCTCCTTGAGCTTGGCCTTGTCCTCATTCCGCTTGATTTTCAGCGTCTCCAGCTTCTCCTCAAGGTCCCTGACCTGAGCACGGAGATTCTCCTCCTCCTACAACACCGAGCCAAGAATTAGGGAAGGAGCAGGGACATCCCTTGGACAGAGCTCTGGGGATGTTCCTGGAAGCCCACAGAACCTGGCCTGACTTTTGTGATCAATATTGGAGCAGTTTGAGAAGAGAGACTTGGGACAAGGGCCTGGAGAGCCAGAACAAGGGGAAATGGCTTCCCACTGCAGCCAGCAGGATTAGTTGGGATATTGGGAAGGAATTCCTGGCTGTGAGGGTGGAGAAGCCCTGGCACAGGTCGCCCAGAGAAGCTGTGGCTGCCTGACCCCACTGCAGCATCCACATCATTCCCAAGTGATCTCCCCCCAGGGAAAACTGATCCAGGTCCTTTTCCAGCAGCTCAGCTCCCAGGGCAGGGAAAGGCTGATGCCAGCATTCCTGAAGGAAGGGCTGCAGGGACAAAGGGATGTGACCTCCCTCCCTGGCAGCAGCCACAGGGGCTAAAGTTTCAAATCCCAAAGCTGGGTGACAGCAAGGAACAGGAAAAATCCAGAACCTCCCACAGATTCCTCTGCTGCTTTCCCAGCCTGGACATTCTGATGTCCCCAAAAAAGCCAGTTTTGCACCCAGTTACAGGAATCAGTTAGCAGAGAGCCCTGGGAACGGGGACACAAGTGGGGACATCCCCTACTCCCACCCTGAGGTGCCTCCTCCAGCTCTCCCTTCCATACACAATCCCCAAGCCGTGTCCTCTCCTGCTATTCCCTCCCTGGCCTTGTGCCCCAAATCTCTCTCAAGCTCTAATTAACTCATTAATCAAAGCAGCATGGAAGTGTTGTAAAAGCATTTTAAAGACCAAAATGGGAATAACTCTGTAATGATTAAAAATCCCTGAATTTGGGAAATACTGGATCTTTCCAGGTGGGCTTTGCATCCCAAGGCAGGAGGGCCCCCAGTGCATCCCTGCTGGTCCCCAGTTCTCCCAGCACCAGTGGGTGTTGCCAACTGGACCCTCTGGATTTAACAGGATCAAGCTCTCACTCAGAGTCTCAACTCTGCCAAACTGTTCTGATGTCACCCACAGGGATTTGGGAAAGGATGGAGGTGCACTGGGAATTCTCTTTGGAAGTGGCCTCCCAGTTGTGCTGCCTGGCCAGCTCCGAGCTGTCCCAATGCTCCTCCCACAGCCCAGTGACCACCCCCAGGACCCCTCCCCTCCTCCTCCTCCTCCTCCTCCTCCTCCTCCTCCTCGTGCTGGGAGCAGTTTTCTCTCCTCCCTCTGGGGAGGACGGGCAGAGCCCAGCGCTCACCTGGGCACCGCTCGGGGCACAGCTCACCTGGGCACTGCTCACCTTGGTGGGTGAGGGCACCGGGGGTGCCCCCGGCGAGCCGAGGGAGGGTGTGGGGATGACGGGGGCCACCAGTGGGGTCTGGGCGGGTGTTCCAGGCTCGCTGCTGCTCATCTCCCCGCCGGACGCCGAGGCTGAGCCCGAGGGCCCGGCCGTGCCGCCGGACGCCGATGATGTGGGGGTCCGGGTGGGCTGCAAGAAACCAGCACGGGGGTGAGGGGGAGTCAGGGGGGACATCCCAAGGGATGGTGACCCCACAGCCTCCCACCGTGACACCTCTGGTGACTCCCAGATTCCCATTTCCAGTTGGGGAAACCTGGAGTCTGTCCCTGACTTGTGTCACTGTTCCACTCCCAACAATTCTTCTCTGGAGGAGCTGGGCTTGGAGAGAATTCATGGATAATCTATTGGGGAAGGACTCCACGTGTTTCCCAGAGAAGCTGTGGCTGCCTCAAATCCCTGGAAGTGTCCAAGGCCAGGTGGGACAGTGGGAAGTGTCCCTGTCCATGGCAGGGGGTGGCACTGGACAATCTCCAAGGTCCCTCCCAACCCAAACCATTCCAGGATTCCAGGATTAAAGGTCCCAGCTCCAGAGCGTGAGACAGCAAAACCTCAGAGCCCACCAAGATGAGAACACAGTTTTAGGAGAGCAACAGAAAAATCAACAAGGAGTGAGTTCCCAGAGTCCAGTGGGGCCTGGTGCTGCTTCATTAGTGCTTATGAGGCTGTTAATTAATCACTGTTTGAACCCGTGCAATAGGAAAAAGCCCCCCAGGCTCCCACTGGTCTCCTCACGGTCCCTATTTCTGGACCACTCACCTCTGACCGTGTAAATTAAATTTCCTGACTTAATTTTATTCCTGTAAATAAAATTCCGGGATTTTGTGCCACGGGGGCTCACCAAGTGTGTGGTTTCACCCATGGGCACAGCTGGGAATGAGAAACATTCACCCTCTGCCCTTATTTTCCCCAAAATGGAGGCAAATCCAAGTTAACTCAACTGCAGCAAGTCCAGCACCCCTTGGATAAGCCCAGCCTGCCCTCCTGGGATGATCCCAGTTCTCCCACGCACAGAAAACAGGGAATTTTCGGGTGGCACCAAGACCCATGTGCTTTCTTCCAGCTGCAACTCAAAATGAAGATGTTTGTTGTTGCTGGTGCTTTTGGGGTCACAGATCCCTCACAGAGAGCAGGATTAGATGGGATATTGGGAAGGAATTCCAGGCTGTGAGGGTGGGAAGGCCCTGGCACAGGGTGCCCAGAGAAGCTGTGGCTGTCCCTGGATCCCTGGAAGTGTCCAAGGCCAGGTTGGACACTGGGGCTTGGAGCAACCTGGGACAGTGGGAGGTGCTCCTGGGTGGAGCTGGATGGGCTTTAGGTCCCTTCCAGCCCAACCCATTCCATGATTCCAAGATCCCAACTCCACCTCCCTGCCCAGCACAGGTGTGAGGCCAAAGGAGCAGGAAGTCCTACAGGACATCCCTGCAGATACATCAACAAGAACCATTCAAACCCAGGGAATGGGATGGGATCCCAGAGCCCTGGGGCTGATGGAATCCATCCCTGCCTGGGGTGAGGTGCTGGAAGCATCCGGTGAGGATGGAGCCCCCTCTGCAGCACCATGGCACAGGAGAGTTCTCCATTTCCAAACTCAATCTTTATGGATTTCTCTCCCACGCTTCCTCCCTTCAAGCCACAAGTCTCCTCTCAAGGTGAATCCTGCTGGCTGGAGCAGCCCTCGAGGGCCAGCTGGGACCACACAGCCCTGCCTGACACCTCAGACTCTCTCAGATCCCACTGCAAAACACCCGGTACAAGGCAGGACAGTCAGGGAACAGCAACCCCCACAGGGACCCCCTGGCACAGCCTGGGCACTGCCACACGGATTTCACACTGTTCCACACCTGTTCCATCCTGGGAGAGGGTCCCCAAGGATCTGGACCTGCTCTAGAGGAGTCCATCACCCCCATGAGCTCCTCTGGGCTCTGCACAATGAGGTGGAAGGAGAATGGGAATGCCCAGTGGGGTTGGAAACCAAAGGGTTGTGTTTGGGTGGGGTTGGGAACCAATGGTTTGGTTTTGGGTGGGGTTGGCACCCAATGGATCATGTTTGAGATGGTGTCCATAAGAATGGCCATGTTTGAGGGGGTTGGCAATGAATGGATCATGTTTGGGTGGGGTTGGCACCCAATGGATCACGTTTGGGTGGAATTGGGAACCAATGGATCATGTTTGGGTGGGATTGGCACCCAACAAGTTGCGTTTGAGTGGGTTTGGCAACCATCAGCTCATGTTTGAGTGGGGCTGGCAATGAATGGATCATGTTTGAATGGTGTTGGCAACCAATAGATCGTGTTTGGGTGGGGCTGGCACCCAACAAGTCGTGTTTGGGTGGGGTTGCTACCTAATGCGCCATGTTTGAGTGGGGTTGGCACCCAACAGGTCGTGTTTGAGTGGAGTTGGCATCCAGTGGATCCTGTCTGTGGTGCTGGTGGCACCCGGTGATCCAGGCTTGTGACGGGGCTGACACCCAATGCTTTGAGTGGCGCTGGCACCCACAGGGCCGTCGGTGCCCGGTGCCCCCCGCGCTCGGTGCCCCCACCGTGGCTGCTCACCTTGGGTCGGCGGGCGGTGCTCTGGAGGGCAGCGGGAGCGGAAGCAGAGAGGACAGACAGTCACACAGGGACAGAGGAGCAGAGAAGAGCCGGCGGCGGCCGGAGCGGCAGAGCAGGGAAAGGAGACAAAAGACAGCACGGCATCGTTAGTGTGCCTGGCATCGTTAGTGTGCCCAGGGGCACCGGGTGTGTGCGGCATCGTTAGCCTGGGGGCTCATTAACCTGCTCCAAGGGCTGCTCTGGGTGGGACCCACGGGCACAGCTGCCCTGGGACCCACAGACAGAGATCTCAAGAGACCCACAGGCACAGCTCCCGTGGGATTCCCTGGCACAGCTCCCATGGGATTCCCTGGCACAGCTCCCGTGGGATTCCCTGGCACAGCTCCCATGGGATCCCCTGGCAGAGCTCCCATGGGATCCCCTGGCAGAGCTCCCATGGGATTCCCTGGCACAGCTCCCGTGGGATTCCCTGGTACAGTTCCCATGGGATTCCCTGGAACAGCTCCCGTGGGATCCCCTGGCACAGCTCCCATGGGACCCCCTGGCACAGCTCCCATGGGACCCCCTGGTACAGCTCCCGTGGGATTCCCTGGCACAGCTCCCATGGGACCACAGGAGCAGAGCCCAGAGCCAGCACAGCCTTTGGTCACCCCCAAGCCCCGTCCCCGCCCCTCCAGCCTAGTGTGGGGACAGAGCTGGGGACAGAGGACACATCCCGAACCTCCCATCCCGACCCCACGGATACCCCAGGGCAGATCCACCTTGTATTTCCAAGGAATTTTGGTCTTCAGAGGCAAAGCCTGGCTCAGGGTGACTGGGCATTCCAGGCTCCATGGACAGGGGGGTTTGACCTCCCACACCTTTCCCAGAGACCCCCGGAGCAGGAGTTGGAAAGGATTTAATCTTAAATATGAGTTTTCTCCTCTCCTCATCCCTCTGGTTTTCCAAAGAGCCCAGAGCACCCTGGACCAGCTGACCCAGAGCCCCCAGGCTCTGCTTTGTTAAACCAAAAATTCCAGGGACACCAGGGAGCTGATCCCAGATTCCCAACTTTTCCTTTCATGGCTGGAATTAAATCATCCATGATTTTGGGACAGGACCCTCCCACACCCTTCCATGCACATGCAGCAGCTCCCAGCAGCTCAGGGAGAGGAGGCCACGGGGCCCAGCCCAGAACAAATATGAAATTATTTCGTATTTTTCCCCTTAAAAACAATCCCTAATGGAAGGAAAAGGAGGAGTGACCAGGCTGGTCCCGGGGGGCAGCGGGTGAGCAGGGCATTGGGAACATCTGTCCAGCTGCAGCCTTGGAGCACTTCCACACTCTCCTCCATTTCTGATTCCATGACCTAATCCCAGCTGGGAATAAGCAGGAGCAGAACAGATGGATAATGGCACTGCCACATGATCCCATGTCCAGGATGGGAACATGAGGCACAGGGAACCCACCAGGGACCAGCAGCTCCAGCTGACATCCAACACGGCCATGCTCCTTCCTGAGGCCTTGGGAAACCTTGGAGCTCTATTTCCCTGTTTTCAATATAAACCTGGGTGTGTTTGCACTTCCAAACTTCCCATCACCTCTGGCATTGCTTCAGCTAAATCCTGCTCTGCTCACTTCCAGCCTTTTCCCAAAGGCTGCATTCCATGTCAATCACAAGGGAAGACATTCCCATCTTCCATGACATCTCCTGCACGACCAAATTTGTCAGGAAAATGGAATGACAGCAGCAAAAGTTCCAGACCCTCAGATGAAACCCTCAGGAGCTCTCCAGCATCTTCCCAAAAGTCCAACTGAGCAACATGGAGCAGCAACAAAAACCTGGGAAACACTTGGAAAATGCCTTCTTCAGGAGTTCCACAGGTGGAGATGTCCCCACACATGTTGGGGGACTCAGGAGTGGGGCAGGGCTGGGAGGTCCCACACTGACCACCGAGTCCTTGGGCATGGGGAAATGTCACCTGAGACTGTCCTGGGGGACACCAAATCCTTCCTTGGGGACACTGAGCCTTTTCCTGGATGGGGGACACTGATCCATGTCCCAGGAGACACCGAGCCTTATCCTGGGGGACACTGAGCCTGGGAGACACCACCTCAAACCACACCAAACCCTAAAACCAGGGAATAGCCTCCTAGTAACCATCCCTAAAGCCATGAATAATCCTGCTTTGTGCATCCTTCAGTTTTGGTCCCCTCCACAAGCAGACCACTGAAAGTTGGGCTCCAACAGCCCCCAGGATCCATGGCAAAAGGACGCTCTGGGATGCTCCAGCTGCTCTCTCCATCAGGAATGGGGGATGGCCGGGCTCCCCTCCGTGTTGGCACCTTCCTGTCCATCCATCTGTCCCCAGCCTGTCATCCCTGGGCTCTGGAAAAGCCGGTGACCAGGATGGGATGTGGATTTTCTGGTGTCCAGCATCGTGCCAGCACTGGGATCAGAGGCTCCAACCCCACATGGACCCTCCTGGATCCAAGATGCTCCAACCCCCCCGATGGGGATGGATGTTCCACTGGAGGTTCTGGGCTCTGCTGTGTAATGCTGCTGCATCAATATTTGATGGAATTACAAAACCTCT